AAATATTCGAGAATTTGGTAGACAAAAACACTGAAACGTTTGATATGCAGTGGGACTACTCTGGGATTTTACTACCATTTAGTGTCTACTATTGCCATTCGAATAAACGTTAAACAAGTTTGCGTTTATAGCAGTTGTTTTTATTTAACAGAAATCTTAAACCTACCGAATATGGATAACATGGTGGAAAAAGCATGATCTTTGATGTTACAACACAGGTGTAGGTAGTGACGATCGTGAATGTTAAAAAATGTAATAATGAAAATTTTTTCCTTTACTCTTACTTTTGCTTTAAGAAAGCTTTGAATCATAAAACGCATTCATTTTTAAAAGCATTTTTAAAGCAAAAGAAAGGACAAGAAAAACATTAATTATTAAATATTTTTAATGTTGTAATAATTATTGTTTTAGCGAGAAAAAATTCAAAAATAATGAGAACATTGACAGAAAGATTACTGAATAAAAGAGTAGAAATTAAAAAGAAATTAGTGAAAATTCCGTGTTACTAAAGAAACTAGCATGAGCGCTATGTTAACAAATCCAAAAACACCAACTTGCTATAAAAACGTGGCCGATTAAAATACTCTCTAATGAATTGAGCATGTTCAGTAAGACCCAAATATATTCTTCGGGTCACTCGTGACACATCTGGAAACAAAACTTCTTTATCTGGTGGTAAAGTCCATTCAAACCAGGATCTACAAAATACAACAACAACATTCAATATTCAATACAAATATTTTCATATTAATTGCATAATATAATCAAAACAATTTATATACACATATATAATCACTGCGTTTTCGGCTTTATTCAACGTATAGTTAAAATACTCCAATATAAATTGAATAACTCTGAAATCGCATTATTTATAAACATTTTTGTATACGACAGTTTCAACTCAACCCAAGATATTAGTCCAATTTCAACTGATGTTTACGCTTAAAAACCGGCTGTTTTCTCGAATTTAACCGGATTTAAAAACTTATTTTCATGAGTTTTTTAACATTAACTTATCTATTACGTTTATCAAATCTTTTGTTTTTAACTGTTAAATTGAATAGGAATTGATTTAATTCTTTTAAATCAGAATTTAACCAGATTTAAAAACACAAAGCTGGCCGGAGTCGATTTGTGTAACTGTTACATTTTTTAATACGACGTGTGACCTTGGCTTCATTAGCTTGCCAACACCGGTTTCAAACCCAGCATAAAAGTTTTTTTTACATTACATTCCTTTCAATAAATAAATAATACAAATTGAATATGCCTTTTTATCAATTTCTGCTGAAACACTTGCGTATATACAATTATGCACAGATACATACATAAACACAAATGTGTACAAAATTGGGTTACAAAAATTCGGCTCAAATTCGAATTCCAGCTTAAAAATTTTTTCATTTTTAATTCAAACTGTTTTAATTTTTAATATCAAAAATATGTAATTCTTCAAAATATTTCGCTAATGAATTATTGTGCGTTTTGTTTTTATTAGCTTTTAGATTTTATATATATAGTTGACCGCAATTGTTGATTTCCCTGCTAGGAAACTAAAATGATAATTTCCGATTGTGATGCATAATCTTCTCTTAATGATTTTCTCGACAATTTTCAGGGAGTGTTCTAGCAGACGTATACCCTGATATGATGAACAATTCAATGGATCACCTTTGCCTCTCTATAGCGAAACTGTCATGCCATTCAGTTCCATTCAGTTGGCATTGAACAATTTCTCCCCACTTCACGGCAAAGTTGTTGTTTCAGCTATTGCATTTTGTATACTGTCATCCCACCACCAAGTGTCCCGTTAATGCTGGCGTTTTGTACCAGTTTTCCCACAAACTTTAGTTGCAGCGTTTATCAAAACAGTTTTGTATGTACTCCAATATGTACTGGTTTGCGATTGGTGGTCTAACTGTGTGGCGACAATCTGTTGAAATTAATTCTTGATGAATATTACTTCCACGTTTTGATTCTTCAAGGCATTTGTTTAGACTTATGTTGTGACAGTTCGACAACCAGGTCTGCCACGAAGAGTTTATGTTGGACTACACGTAATTCGACTTTGACATTTTTGAATAGCCTTTGGTGTTGTTGCTTGACAGCGAAGAAAACAATTTGCGTGGCTGATGGTCCACTTTTGTATGTTATGAAATGTTCCAGCCTCTTTCTAAAATATGTTTAGTAAACCAAACCCGTGAATTTCAGTAAACTCAAGGATGCAGTTGCCATCTTCATTCCGTTCTTCATAGCCTAAACCGCCATGTACGTTGTCAAAACCATCTGTTTTCTCTCCAACGTGGCTATTGAGATCGCCTCCAATCAGGATTCCCAGGAATTCTTAGCACCCCTTAACCACTTAAGACTTGCTGGGGACTAGGGACTGTTGTTTTTCTTGGTGATGGCATAGAATAATTTGGGAGAAAATTTTTACATCCGGACACCCATCGTGACGACAACCACTAACTAAGCGGTGGCCTAGCCTTATGCTCAAAAGCACGCAAGGCAGCGTGGATGCAGTTTTATGTCATGCCCAGAAAATATATATATATATAATATATGCTCCACCCATCGATATATATATATATGCTCCACCCATCGAAGGTCCGATTTCAGACAACACTGTAGAGGACCTTACAGAAGTTCTGAAAGCTATGAAGGATGGAAAGGCAGCAGGGCCTTCGGGACTCACAAATGACATTATCAAAGCATCTGGTACTGCAGGTATCCAAACGTTACTACAACTTTGCCGTGAAATCTGGAGAAATTGCTCAATGGCGACTGAATGGAACTGTAGCATGACAGTCTCACTATACAAAGGTAAAG